TTCACTTCGTGAGCTCGGCAACCAGGTTACCGTTTTTTTGTTTTACCTCCGTTTTTTTTATTGGCGGTAACCATACTGGTGGTCGAGTAGATCATGTTGTGCGGGGTGGAGAACCCTCACTCCGCGCAAGGGGGATGATCGCACCACGTTGTGTTAAAATGGTCAAGCACCCTCGAGGCAGTTACACAGTGCTTACAACTGTCTCTGGAAGTGAAAGCACCAGAAAATAAATTAATTCATACGCAGCTGTCATCCGTACGCAAGGAAGTAAGCACAAGATGCCGAACACCCTTAGCAGGATGCAGCGCACCCTTCATGCGACTCGCCGAATATCTCACGGCGCTTCGCGCTTGGTGATGTGAGAGCCTGGTCCGGTGAGAACCCGGCGTGCTCGGTCCCGGCTTCGTAAGGATGCGAGGTCAATGGTTTAACGACTACGGCATGCACGGCTATGAGTACACCCCTCCGCCGCCGCCGCCTCGCCCTAGCCAGTCCCCTCTTGGCTTGGCGTGAAGCCAGCCTTTCCGCTGGATTTTTCTGTGCTGTGTGATTCCGGTCGGCGTTGGTGATGATGATTCAGAGAGTGGGTTTTAAAAAACGAAATAACGTCGCCCCCCCCCCCATTTTTGTGGGATCCCTGTGCCCCAAATGCTGCAGGTGGTTGTGATGATGGGAGGCTTCTGGTTGGTATACCCTTTCCTGCAGGGGCATTAAAAATGAATCAGAAAAGAAAAAAAGAATTCTGTGGATTTGTTTGCAGTGTTGTGCACGCAACGCAATCATACCGAGGCTTCCCTGGAGCAGCAAGAAAAGCGGGTGGGGGATGAGCCGCGTACCCGCACACACAAAACACACGAAAGAGGGAGTGGAGTGAGAGAGAAGAGAGAGAGCGAGGAAGAAAGGAAGGAACATAGAGGGAAAGAGAGCGTGACAGAGCGCGAAGACTCCCTCTTCGCTGTTCTCGGCTGCTGCTGCTGCTGCTGCTGCTGCTGTTTGTGTTCTCTGCTAGGTGGTTGTGGTCGTTTGGGTGTTACTACATGTATGTCGAGCATCTCAAGCCCATCGTCCGCCAAACATGTCCATATTGCTTTGCTGGCGCACCATCCCAGAGCAATGTTCGTGTTGCCGGCCTTGGTGCTGTAGTCATCGTCTTCGCCATCGCTGGTGTTGTCGTAGTTATTTCTGCATTTTTTTTTTGCTGTTTAGGGTGGTGTGCATCGGTTTATATTGCATTTTGGTTTGATTTTTCGGTGTTTTTTCTATTTTTCTGGTGGCCTTGGGTAAGAGCCCTTCCGTGTTATGGGTGGGGTAGGATAGGGTCTGATCGGAGCTGCCCTCTGCACCTTTTCATTATGGATGAAGGTTCAGAGGTCGATCGTTGGTCTGATGTTGCCGGCGCCTCAATTTCGCTTGACCGCTCCTCGACTGGTTGCACAAGGTCCATGGTTGGGCCCGTAGAATCAGTGGGGGCGGAATCCCGGAACTTTTCCCGGGGGTAGTATGGAGTACGAACAATCAAGGGCATTCGTGATCGATATTTTGGTTTCTCTATGTCCCCCGCCCTGGTCCATGTTGTATTTTCCACATACTTAGTACCTTTCGTGTAGCAAAGTTGTTCCGTTTACCACGAACCCCAAACAGTAGAATCGTGCGGTTTGGTGAGAAGTACCCACCCGACCCGTACCGCTTTTCTTGGTTCATCCTTTATTTGTCTTCCGGTGTCCCTTGGAGTTTGAGGGGGGGGGGAGGGGGCGGTTACGCGGGGGCGGGAGAGGGACTACTCCTTCTATGTTTTCATATTTTTGAAAGTTTTTTTGTTTTTTTTTCCAATCAAGAATGACTGGACGGAGCGAGAGGTGGCATCGGGTTGCCCCCGACGTGGTGTTGGTTTGGTGCATGGATAATGTGCTTGTTAGAACCTCTTTTTCATGCATTGCGGGGCCCATGGGTGTGAGCACGCGGGTGCAGCGTAATATAGATAAATAGAATGACCAAGAGGGAGCGAGCGAGCCCAGACGGTGAACGCGACTCTCTCGACGGTATTACTCCCCCCATTTAATTGTTGGAATAAAACCAAATGCATGTATGTACTGGCAACGAGAGGTATTGGTTGTTTGGTTGATGCTTGTTTTCTTTTTACCAAGGTGAGGCATGTTTTGGGTGTGTCTCGTTAACGGGGACAGCGATTGTAGACTATTGTGAGGCGTGATTTTCTCTTCTCGGTTCTTTTTGTTGTGCCCTTCGCGACGACACGAGGCAACGACAAAAGCTCTCGTTTTTTTTTCATGTATTTGTTTATTGATATGCACATGACACAACACGCCCCACGTCTGCCTCTTCTTATCCGTGTTTCTTGTCTATTGGGAGACGGCTCGTTTTTCGATTGTGTTGTTTTTGGTTGGAGAAACTTTCTGCAGCACCACGCGCTTTGTTGTTACCGCATGTTGTGTCGTGCATGAGTTGGGCGTTTGCAGCAAGCGTGTACGTGGTAAGTCTTGAGCTACACAGGCAGGCGGGAGGAAGAATCAGGCCCGCTGGTTTGCTCTCCTGTCCGTCTTGTGGTTTGTTTAGTGTTGGTTTGATAGAGTTCTGATGATACTCGCACGGTGTGCCGTACGTCGAGTAGAACAGACGTGGTCAAGCAATGACAAAAACCTGCTGCCGCTTTTTTTTTTTTTGTGTGTTGTTGTGAACGTGCCGTAGGAGGCTTGATCTGTTCATTGCGTGTTGTTTTCATGTGTGCGCTGGAGAAAGAGGCCGCGGGCGTTAACCAGAACGAATCGTAGGCAGTATTACAGCTCGTTTCTTTCGTGCGATGAAGTACTTCTACATGGTGACATTGCAGAAGTGCCGCAGACGCCAACTGTGTTGAAAGTCCTTTTGAAGTCAGGGAGTCAGTAGTCGATCGAAAACACTGCCACAGCATCGTAGAGGTAGAACATCGTTTAGCTGTTGCTTGTTCCTGTCGGCGCTGTTGTATTTTGCAAGTGAGGAAGAATGAGGGAAAGCGGTGAGAACGGCGCCTTGTCAAGTATCTTGGTCGTAGTAATCAGTGTTATGTGTTCGGCCACCAGTTACATGGAGTTTTGTTGCCAGGAAACAGTTTGTAGCCGCGTATGTTGCTCCAGAGCAGCACGCGCTGCGCCTTTCGTGTACTAGACGATGCGTATCCCCCCGCTTATGTTGGCGATTTGGGTCTGGTTTTGCTCCCGAGCAGCAGCGCTCTACTAGCGTAGTAGATCTGTAGCCTTTCGTGTGACCCTGGCTTCAAATGGCGTCGGCGCGGCATTGGCAACAGGGCCATCAGTCAGTATGTTGGAGGATAACGAGCGGTAGGTATTCATAGGTTTGGTGTAGTCTAGATGAGGAAAACGTATGCATGCATAGCAGCAGCACCAGCAGCACTACTGTTTTTCACGTAACAAGCTGCTGACAGACGCCTACAAACCAAAGCTGGACGTTGAGCTGGGGGAGGTGAACAAGACGAACGAAGCTCGTCAAGTATTTTGTCAGACAGATATTCTGGCGTGAGGACGAAAACTCCTCAAATCTTCTTCTAGTCTAATCTATCCAAAGGTGCCTCCACTGGGCTTTTGAGGGTTGTTCACTTGATCCTCGATACGGTTGTTGGCCTGCGCGCTGGGAGTGTACGCTTCAAAACCGTTACATGTAAGCAGGGTATCACAGGAACGTTGATGCAGACACAAGGCGTCTACAACTAAAAAAGAAGCACGTTAGGTACTTGTATCCATTTCTTTCGCCATCACTGTGATGTGATGGCAAACAAAACTTTATAGACGAAAAGTGAGACTTGTTTTTCTCTGTGCATATGCATACGCTCACGCAATTCCAGCAGGCCGTGCCCTCTTGACGGTAACGCTCATCTCGCGTGAGCGACCAAAATCTCTCTCAGATCGAACCAAGTCTTACAGCTCGCCTCGTCGAGTTGACGGAATGCCGCCGGCTTCATTCAGTGCAGCCTGTTCAACAAAATCTTCAAATCAAGATCAAGGGATTTCCGAGCGCTTGTTTAGCGGCTCCAACGCAAAGTAGTCACCGGACCCAGCAAAGCCTCACTCATTTTCACCGCGCTTGCCTGTTTCTTCCTATCCATGTTGTACGTCCACCGTTGGTCGGTGATCTTGCGGCAGGCAACAAATTCAGCCAGCCAGCCGTCCATTCCACCGCGGCTACCTACCCGCTCGAAGATGAAGGACAGCTTCCGACAGGCAACCCCGATTATACTCACTCGTCCCGCAATATTCGCTTCGGGATTCAAAGTCTACACCCAATATTTTCTGCTTGCACTATTCTTGGTGACCCATCCATTTATCCTGTCTTGTGAACCTGAGCCAGCCCGGCAGATGGATATCTAGCACCAACCTAAAATCATTTCTACCGACTTGACGGGGGGGGTAAACAAACAAACGCACACCCAATCGACATCGACACAAACGTTGGTTTGGTCGGAAGCCCTCCACAACAGACGGCCAACAGGGAAAAACTTCCCGGGTCGCAACAAAAAAATAAATAAAAAATAAAGCTTCAGATTTTAACACACCACCCTGAAGTTATACTATTCGTCAACGTGCCAAGTCTGCGGGTAGTTTTTTCCACCCACACACTTACTGCTCACACGGCACACATTCATCCTCGATTGTGCCATTTAGTATGCATGCGAGGGTCCACCGCAGCGACCGGTGCCTCGTGCCCTGATTGTCGAGCAAGTAGGCTTGACGGCCACTTCTGCTAACACCCCTGACACGTGGTACCAGATGCCCAAGAAAAATTCTTCCTTCCTTCCCAAGCGGAAGGGAAGGAAGCGACTGCTACGTGCCCGCACCCTCCAATAAACGTGGAACTTCTCCAAGAAAAGGAGCAAAAAAAAACAAAAACATGCTGCGCATACTACATCGGAACCAACAACGACAACGAAAGGCAGTCAGCACAGCGGCGGTGGTGATTCGAACTGTGTACACGTCGCGATCGCTTCCTGGGCAGAGGTCTGCTTTGGACACTGGACTGAATGAAGGGGCCACTGCTGTGACAAACATTCTTAACCTACATCGATTTCTCATTTAACTAATAAACTTGCGACGTCTACAATAATATGTGGCATCACGTAGTATTCTCTAACCGCTTCCCCCGGGCAGCTGCGTACAAATCTAAAACGGTAATAACAAACACAGAACCCGCAAGACAACCAACATCCGCAAGGCCTGCCGTGTCACGTGAATCAGCTCCGGGCCATCAGCATCATGTGACACCACCACCTCGCCCACTTCGCTCACCGAGTAAAACAAAGTTGCATCTGACATCTAGGGGGGAGAAGGGAAAACAGCTTCCACATCACCACCCAACAACACACGGACACGAGGACAAAGCTTCATGCCAAATCACACGCCCATTAGAAGCTACGCTCTAGCTCCTGCGTGCGACAACGTTTCAGGTTCCTGTGATGAGGGGCTCTCTGAGCTGCCCCCCTCCCCGCCCCCTTCCCCCCTCGCTTCCAGGGCTTCCAACACTTGTTGGTGGGGCGTTTCTAACCTCGGATCCATCCGACAGCCTGCTCCCCCGTTCACCACTGCCTGCCGCCGCTGCGGGAACTCCTGCGTCTGCGCCGTCGCCAGGGCCAGGAGAACTACGGTTCCCGGACTGGCCGTCCGGTTCCAACGCTTGGCCCTCTGACGGTTGGTTGTTGTCCGCGATCCCGAATCTGGTGTGTGGGTTGGGGTAGAGGTGTTGGTGTGGTCCGGAGCAACGAGAGACAGAGGTGTTTGTTGTTTCGAGGGCAACATGCAACGACGGGCGGTGTCGGTACATAAACGAAAGGAATCCTTTCATGTCGCAGATGATAAAAGAAAATGACGGTCCGTGCGCCGGTCTATCTCGTCGAAAGCAAGTTAAACGAGCGTCAAGGGGGTGCTGGTGATCGCGGGAAAACGACAGCGTCGGGCCGAGATAATTTTCGTACAAAAAAAAAAAAGTGATCGCCGGCCCCGAGTTTGTACATGGAGGCGAACGATTTGCTCCTCGCGACACATGTTGAGCCGTCCGTTCAGCGAGACGCACACCTTCATCTCCCCTGACGAGAGCGCTATCCGTCCGACGTTTGCACAGCAGGTCGACCCACCGAGAAAAAGGAAAAGAACAAATGTGGTGTGCCCAAAACACACAACAAAACAACCCCATCCCAGCAGGTAGTTTGGAAAATTTGTTGCGGACGATTCTATTCCTTCATCACTCGAAATCTGCGGCGCCCTGCCAGAACGCCTATTACCGCTTTGGGGGGCTAACCGTCCGTTCGAAAGAGAACAAGGTCCTCCTCGACAACAAACAGAGAAACGACAAGGCCGGACAGAGTACAACCTCCCGCCCGTGGACCCCAAAAAACGGTTTCGTGGAAAACCTCCCGCTCGAAACACTCTGCCTGTTGTTTGCTACTAGTGTTGGCACATCGGACTATTTTTAGGGCAAACCTAGCACAAGCGATGGCATCATGGCGTCGAGGGTTACTATTAGGTAGGGTCTACGGCAAGTACACGAACGATAGAATTACGGCTGGGTATGCATAGGGGGCAAAGTCTCGAGAAGACTACTTGTAGTCACCTCAGGAATAGCGACAGCTGCGCAAGCCCGGCCAGGAAGCCTACCGACTGCGGAGCGGCGACGAACCAATCCGAGGTAAGGTAGCCGTAGGTCGCCCACAGCGCCGCCGCCGCCGCGATGGTGATGCTCAACGGCAGGTACATGCCCGACGTTGAGCGGGTGCGCAGCACCTGTTTTGTCGTGTTGTTGTCGATGTTACAATGGCACCCCAAAAGCAAAAGACCAGTACGTCGATTGTTCAGCAATCTTTAGGACGAAAATCCAAAGTCAACGTAACCGTCAACAGGCACACATGATAAAAACAACAACAAAAATAGGGGTGGGGGAGAAACAAATCACGCGCAAGCGCGGCACACAAAAATGTCAAGTGGTCACTCTTGTATTGTGTGTGTCTCTCCCCCGCCCGTGTGATCCTCGTCACCCCAACCTTCCACGCGAGCTCAAGGGGCGAGGCGTAGAGGCAGACGTTGAAGACATCGACGAAGTAGCCTATGCTGTCCGCGGCCGTGGTGGAAGACCAGACGACAGCCATTACTACCGCCGACGTCGCCATCAAGCTTTTGGAACAAAAAAAAAGAGCGACACAAGGGAAGGGGGGTAGGGAGAGAGAATACAGCAACAGGCAGAGAAAGTACAGCGTGAGACAGAGACAGGGGGAATAAGAAGAGAGAAACACACACAAAGGCCTCTAGATATTGTGTGTGGAGGGGGTGTTGAAGGAGGTACGGAGGGTGGGCAACGAATGGGGGGAGGGGGTGAGTGGGGAGGGGTGTTCTCATAGTCGTGCATGCCGTAGTCGTTAGACCATTGACCTCGCATCCCTTCAAAGCCGGGACGGAGTACACCGGGTTCTCACCGGACCAGGCTCTCACATCACCAAGCGCGAAGCACCGTGAGATATTCGGCGAGTCGCATGAAGGGTGCGCTGCATCCTGCTAAGGGTGTTCGCATCTTGTGCTTACTTGCGTACGGACGACAGCTGCGTATGGAGATGACTTAATTTATTTTCTGGTGCTTTCACTTCCTGACAGTTGTAAGCACTGTGTAACTGCCTCGAGGGTGCTTGACCATTTTAACACAACGTGGTGCGATCATCCCCTTTGCGCGGAGTGAGGGTTCTCCACCCCGCACATGATCTACTCAACCACCATTATGGTTGCCGAACAAAAAAAAGAGAGGTAAAAAAAGCGCGGTAACCTGGTTGCCGAGCTCACAAAGTGATCGGCTTGTTCTACAACGTCGTTGCCAGGCGACGAAAACGCAACCCCGATGGCAAACACCGGGGTGGGGGTGGGGGTGGGTTGCTCCACCTTCTACTGAGGTGGACAGGGATTGCTCGATCGAGCTATACACCAGCTGCATACCGTAGGTTGCATAAGATATCACACTTTCATTAGATACCACACCCCCTCAGACAACGTACACAATACCACACCCGTGTGCTATTTTTTTCAGCCCCCCCAAAAACGTCATTTTATCACACGGTGACATAAGATACCACACCCCCTGAAGTTGGGCCGCATTAAATCGACGGAGCCCCCGCTTATCACACGGTGTGACAACTTAAGGACAGAGATCACAACCACACCACCTGCTCGCAAGAGCCATGGAGGCGGANTAGGTTGCATAAGATATCACACTTTCATTAGATACCACACCCCCTCAGACAACGTACACAATACCACACCCGTGTGCTATTTTTTTCAGCCCCCCCAAAAACGTCATTTTATCACACGGTGACATAAGATACCACACCCCCTGAAGTTGGGCCGCATTAAATCGACGGAGCCCCCGCTTATCACACGGTGTGACAACTTAAGGACAGAGATCACAACCACACCACCTGCTCGCAAGAGCCATGGAGGCGGACAATGTCGTGGAGGGTGGTGCAGTTAACAACCCGGCTGAAAGCCCCGCGGCTCAGACTGCAGTGGGCAAGACTCCAGCGGCGGCCCCACGCTCCATAGCGTCAATCTGCCAACCCCCCCCGGGAGAACGTGGGGCTGCTCGGACGACTCCCTCAGAAGCCGCACATGACATCGCACGTACTGCTGAGGCCCGCTAAACAGAATCTACCGCTGCTGAGACTCCCACAGCACCGGCTGCGCCTGCCACCGCGGGTGCCGCTGAAACCTGCGAAGCAGAACCTACTGCTGAGACTCCCGCAGCACCCACACCCGCACCTGAAGAGGCAGCTCTCCCGCCAACCACCAACACCCTGAGCGCGGCTACTGCTGAGAACCCTGCAGCAGCACCGCGTTGCCGAGAACCATCGAGCACCAACAAGCCCTTGTGGGCTGAGCCAGGGAAGGATATGCCGGAGTTTTGCGGCAGGCATGCGAAGTCTGGCGACGTCTACATCAAAATAAGGTGTGCGCAGAGCGTCTTGCAGTTTGCAACACATGGGTGTTTGTGAGGATTATCATGGCTCAAGCAAACCAAAGAACATGCCACGCCTGATTGCCTGATCGATAACCAGATCAAAAAAGAATGTGATTTTAACGTCGTGTCGTCGCGCTCGCCTCACTGTTTTTCGGCATGTTCACATTATTTTTTCATGTAGTGCAAATATATCATGGTGTGTAGGCGAAATGTTTACTGGATTGTTTTTTTCACACACACGACACGTTTCCGCGCACCGTTTTTTGTGGTTGTGATGTTTCGGTAGGAAGACTGCGAAACCCGTACCCAACATGTGCAAATATGCAAACATAATCTCGACAGCAGTTCGTGCCTGTTTGTGTGAGATACGAAATAGGTGCCGTCAGCTGCTCACCCTCTGTACCTTGCAAGCGTGGACGCCATGACTCTCAACCTGGTGGCCGTTGTCAGAGCTATCCGCTAGCCATCGTATTTTTGGTACGTTTGTCTGATGGTCGTTGGAGCGAGCGCATTGTTACAGACACTGCACTTCATGACACGTATGCTACATGCTTTGTTGCTTCCTCGAACTCATGCGCTTTTCAGGAACATGCACCT